ACACCCGCTCGCTTGACCTTTGAGCGGGCCGGGCCTTCGAAGGGTCGGGGCTGGAGAGCCCACGCCGGGAGCCGGAAGGGGGGTGCGCGGAGGGCTGCGCGCGGAGAGCGGGGGGCCTCTCGCTGCGTAAATGCTGAGAGCAGGTCGTCTGTCCAGCCACAGGTGGCCACTTGGGGCAAAAGGAGCGTGGAGGGGGCGGATAAGGGTTCGCAGCGTCCTAGCAGCAGCCCAGGGTAATTGCCGGTGAGAACGTCGGGGTAGCTGGCGGTCCTCCGGTCCCTCCTCACCTGCCGCCCCTGCATCCTCCAGGCCCTGCTCTGGCCTCGCTCTGCTCTGCGAGGGCCTGGCCCAGAGCGTCCTCTCTGGTCCTGCCTGTTGCTGGGTGTTGGTGGCCTTTCTGCTGTTGCTCCGGTCATTTACCAAGGTCTTACTCCAACACCAGGCACTAGGCTGGGTTTTGTGTCTCCTCGGATTTCATTGAGCGCCCTGTGGGGCAGGAGGAGGTATCCCGGCTTCGCAGAGAAGGTAGCTTCTGATCCGGCAGCTTCCGGGCCTTGCCCAAGGTCCAGGCAGAGCTGGTTCCCACAGAACCCAGGATTCCAGACTTCTGGCCCCCTCGGTCCCCGGGAGCACCTTCCTTCCCCGCTCTTTGCGGGGTGCCCTCGGTGGCCCTGCGCTCCGCCTGTCTGGGGCTCCCAGAGCTGCCTCTAGGTCCTGTTTGGATCTTCTCAGGCGCCTTCTCAAGTCAGGCTGTTGGTTTCTTGGAACCTCTTCCTGACGGCATCTCAGTTCGATGTGATCAGGGACAGGAAGGGTTAGGGCTCCCAGGAGGAGGCCACAGCCACGTCCTCCAAGGGCCAGGCTTCAGGGTGAGTAAGTTCTGTCCAGGGAAGAGCTGGAAGCCAGGCATGGGGGCAGATTCTCATGGTAACAAGAAGCAGGGGCCAGGGTGATGCCAGGCAGCCTCCTCCAAGTACCCACTTGTAGGGGCCGGGGAGTAGCGCAGGAGATAATGTGTGGAAAGCACTTTGTGAATGCTGTTAAGTTGGCATTACATTTTTAGAATAAAAGCTGAACTCTCTCTCCCCTGGCCTCCAAGGCTCTAAATGACCTGGCCTGTCCTCCCTTCCATAGTCCAGTGGTGATACTTTATATAACAAGCACTCAGTGTAGGACGCCAGACACTAAATACCTGATGCAGAGTAACTCATCCCCATACCCTTCGAGGTGGGCACTGTTTTTATCCCTGCTTTACAGGGGAGGAAACTGAGGCAGTTTAACTTGGCTGGGAAGTGGCAGAGCCTGGGTTTGAATCTGGGCAGCCACAGTGGCCTTTCCAGTCCTCCCCACCCTCCAAGTGCATTCTGACCTCAGGGTCTTGGCACATACGCCACCACCTAGTACATGCTCAGTTCACGTTTGCTAAATGAACAGTGATCACGGGGTCCGGATTTCCGTGGTGGAAGACCAGAGAAGGTGGAGAGAAGTACCATTCTGTGTAGCCCGAGTGGTGAGGTCAAAGGAAGCTGGAGTGGGGGTGAGCCTGCATCACCACGAAGCAAAGGAGCGTTTTCAAGGACAGTGGGAAGAACGAGGTCTACTGATTCCTGACAGTGGTTTGAATGACTGTGGGCAATAGGCCAGATGTTACAAAGCCTTTTGTTTTTTATTTTTAATCCTCAGGAGGGAGGGGGAGGAGAGGGGAGGAGAGGAGAGGGAGAGAGGGAGAAACATCGATTGGCTGCCTCCTGTACATGCCCCAACCAGGGATCGAACCCGCAACCTTTTGGAGTGCAGCACGATGCTCCAGCCAACTGAGCCACCTGGCCAGGGCTCCTACAAAGCTTATTAAAATGAAAGTGAGGCCCCGCTGGGTGTGGCTCAGTGGTTGAGCGTCAACCTGGGATCCAGGCGATCGGGGTTCTATTCCCGGTCAGGGGACATGCTCAGGTTGCGGGCTCAATCAGTGACTCTGTCATCATTGATGTTTCTCTCTCTCTCCCTCTCCTTTCCTCTCTCTGAAATCAATAAAGATATATTTAAAAAAAAAAAAAAAAATTGAAGTAAGGGTGTCTCATTTAGAGTCTGTAGTAAGTTATAAACATCAAAAAAGCATTACTTTGAGACCTACACGTTAAGTAAACTGTGTAAGTTCAGAAATTGATGGCTTTTACTGATCAAATCCAATAATTAGTTAAATGTCTTTATTCATGAAATAAGTCATGTCATAATTGCAACTCTTAGGAAGTCACCTTATCGTAAGCTGTCTGCTCTGTGTTTAGCAAAAGGCTTCAGGACTGGGGTACAGGCAGAACACTGTGGCCATAGTTAATAACACTGTTATATTGAATAATTGAGCTTTGCTAAGAGAATGGAACTTAAACTTTTCACACACACACAACGTGTGAGGTTATGGATGTGTTATTAACTGTATGGGGAAACCCTTTCACAATGCAGACGTATATGAAGTCACCACCACGACATATACTTTAAATATGTTACAGTTTCATATGTTAGTTAAACCTCAGCACAGCTGAAATTTAAAAGGCAGCACTGAGATGCAGCTGGTCGCTGTGCCCCAGCCTGGGTGTTCGTCTCACAGGAACTCGCCTCGCCTTGGCCATGTTCTTACTCAGCTTCAAGTGCCAGCACTTCTTAGTGTGATAACACAAATGCACTGGTTCTCAATTTAAAAGGTGTTTAAGAGTGGTATGTGATCTGGGGCACACCACTAGTGGAGGGTAGCCCTCAGGGGGACACTTGACACTGCAGGATGGCACAGGCTTGAGGAAGGGGAGGTGACGGATTGATGCTGCGAAGGCCAAGGTCGGGGTGTTGAGGGGAGAGTGCAGCTCAAAGAGCCCAGAGCAGAAGCCCCGTGTGGGTGCGGGGGGCATCAGAGCAGATCCCTGATGAGTTGTGGGAAATGAATGAACTTCATGAATAAGTGGAAAGAAATCTCTCACCAGTCTGGTTTGAAACCATGGTCATGTTGATATTTATGTTTCTTTCCAGATGTTTCAGAGCCTCATTAAGAATGTCTGGGTCCCCATGAAGCCCTACTACACCCAGGTTTACCAGGAGATCTGGGTGGGGATGGGGCTGATGAGCCTCATCATTTACAAGATCCGGAGTGCTGGTAAGTCTCCCCATGCTCAATTCTTTGAGGTCAGGGAGAATTACTTCCAAAGGAATTGCAGTCCATAGTATAGGAGACTGTGTTTCTCGTCTAGGAGTAACCATCAGAACGAGTGGACCTCCGTTAGAATGCAGGGAGCACACGTCGCCGCGCGACATTGGGGACCATTGGGGAATAAGACCTGGATATCAGGGAACTGTGGCTTTCCTTAGGTGTGACTGTGGTGGTTTGAATGCAAAGGAGACTGAACTACTTGGGGGCGAAGCCATGGCATACGGTGTTTTGTGGTTTCTTCTTCATTCTGAGTGTTTGAAATATTTTCATACTAAAAGTTAGGGCAGGGTGACCATTTGGTTCTCAGCGGAGCAGAGATGGGGCCCAGTCATGTATTAATAAGTGATTGGTTAAAAAGAGAAAAGAAAGGAGAAAACTTTAAGTTGCAAGGCTGGGTTTGGGGTGTGGTAGGGAGTAAAGAGCCCCACAAATGAGGGAGGACTGTTAGCCACTTGTAGAGCATCTGTGGTGGGAATCGTACTGTTTCTTGACTGAGATATGGTAACTCCTGTGTTCTGAGAGCGTCCTATATTGGCCTTGCCCAAGCTGTGACCTTCATAGTCAGATGTTGATTTCCACAGGGAGCTGACTAAAGGCTTTTTGTGAAGCATTAATATGACCAGTCTTTCTTTTTATTTTAGATAAAAGAGCAAAAGCTTTGAAAGGTAAGAGTTTTGCTTTTTAAATGGGTGGGGGATGCCCTAGCCGGTTTGGCTCAGCAGTTAGAGCATCACCCCGCGGACTGNGTGGGGGATGCCCTAGCCGGTTTGGCTCAGCAGTTAGAGCATCACCCCGCAGACTAAAGGGTCCCAGGTTCAATTCCAGCCAAGGGCATGTATCTGGGTTGCAGGCTCGATCCCCAGGCCCCAGTCGTACATGCAGGAGGCAACCAATTGATGTGTGTCTCTCATGTCGATATTTCTCTCTTTCTCTCTCTTTCAAACTCTTTCTCCCTCTCTCCCTTCCCCTCTCTCTCTCTGAAAAGCAATGGAAAAAATATCCTCGGGTGAGGATTTTTAAAAAATAAATAATAAATAAATAAATAAGTGGGTAGGGAATGAAAACACCATCACACCGTTTGAGGACAGGGTATATCAGTGCCCTGAGTTGACGTTGACTCGGTTCAGTAAACGTATTAGGTGTGATGGGGATACTTCGGAACANCCCTCTCTCCCTTCCCCTCTCTCTCTCTGAAAAGCAATGGAAAAAATATCGTCGGGTGAGGATTTTTAAAAAATAAATAATAAATAAATAAGTGGGTAGGGAATGAAAACACCATCACACTGTTTGAGGACAGGGTATATCAGTGCCCTGAGTTGACGTTGACTCTCGGTTCAGTAAACGTATTAGGTGTGATGGGGATACTTCGGAACATGAAGTTCTGCTTGTGGTCTGAGCTCACCCCCTTGGGCCAAGTAAAACTCTTGTTTGCAGCATGATAGAGAATGGATTGGTTGTGTGGCCAGCACCAGGGGTGGGGCACCCGAGTTCGCTGGAGCACACTGCCTGGCCAGTGCGTTTGTGGGAAGCACCCCCTGAATTGAGGCCCTCGTGCTGGGAGGGTCTCCAGTTTGCTTCCCAAGTGACAGTGAAACTGTAGTCGTTTGAGTCCTGCACACCCAGGCTGCTCCTGACCTTTGGGGAGGAGACATCTCCCCACCCTTCCATCTTTGTGCCTGCAGGTGATCTGCGTGCACACCCATTAATCGCACAAACCCTAAGCTCCCGGGGCGTTCTGAGTAGAAACAACCTCCGTACTTCATACCACTGAGCGTTGTTGACCCTTTCTGACTTGCTGATGCCGACAGTAAATACAGTCTGCTTGCTCTTCCTGACATGTATTCGTGTTATGCTTCTTTCAAAGGTCCGAGTCCCAAACCTGCTCATGGTCATCACTAACCAGCAGAGCCTGGAGCTCACCTCGGGGGAACTTCGGCCTGGCAGCAAACCTCAGCTCTGTTAGATGGGAACATGGGACACACTGTGTATTGCAGAAGTGCCGTTTCCCTGCTGGCATGAATAAACATACCTGTGAGACCACTCGCCTGCACGGTGTTCCTGCCTCCATTCCCCCCGGACCCTGAGCGGATCTTTGTAACAGCAGGTGCAGGTGCATTCAGACGCTCACCGAGCCCGTCCTTAGGGATCCCGAGGAGCTCAAGAATCAGCATCTTGGTTGTCGTAGGAGTTGGGGGTCTTAGCTAGGCACTCACNCAGCATCTTGGTTGTCGTAGGAGTTGGGGGTCTTAGCTAGGCGCTCATGCGTCTGAGGTTCAGTGTCAACAAATGTTTGTAATGGAGGTGATTTTCCTACCCTTGTGATCTCTGAGCCTCCGTTTTCTCTTAAGAGAAAACGGTGCTGTGTACGTTCTAACTTAGTCATTTTGAAGGAAGTAAGAGGGTATGGAAAAGCATTATATTTCAGCTAAAATGCTTTAGAAATAAGATCACAGATCACATGGTGGGCAGAATTACAAGCTCTAGGAGATTTCTCCAGGAAGTCACTTATAAGACAAAGGACATAATACTACTGTACTTAAAAAAACTACTATTGGTGTGTCCAGCTTGGCTAACATCAAATGAATACTGCATAATACAGGGTGTCCCAGAAAAGTGCATGCACACTTTGAAGGCAGTGCGTATTTAAATACATTTCATTTTCCAGACATCATAGAACCCACGGCCATCAGCGGTTAGTTGGTGTGCATACGTTTGTCTGGACATCCTGTTTTTTTCTCAATCTACGGCAATGACTAAAACCCTTAGAAATGCCTTTTTTTCTTAAACACTGTAAAGCAGTGAGCTTGGGGTAGCATTGAGTTTAGTTTGAAATACGGTTCTTCGCAGGGTTTTGGGGCCTGGCTGTGGGATGGGTGCTAGCCTGTGTCCTGGTCTCTGGCTGTGTTTCTTTCCCCACTTTCCTCTGTGTCACCAGCGTGTAGGGTCAGATCTGGCCCACGGTCAGCACCCACAAGTGACTGCCACTTCCTGGGGCTCCTGTACCTCCGTTTCTTTTGTGAAGTGGGGTCGAATCTGCCTTGTTGACCTCACTGACGGCCTCACATTGGCTCCAGGAGGAGTTGGCACGGAAGCATCGGACAGCCCCCGGGAACCTCGGGGGGGCTCCCTTCTAACAGGAATCATTTTCTCCCATAAGTGTTTGGCCTCCACGGGATAAGTTGGGGCTGTGGTTCAGAAAGACCCTATCAGAAATTATTCACCTGGGCCACCTGTTCTCCAGCGTGAGCTTGGTCAGAATCATCTGGGGGGCTGTTAACGGTTGGTCTGGGCAGGGCCTGAGAACTGTCCTCCTTACAAGTTCCCAGACATGCTGATGCTCAGGGACCCCCTAGAAAACCACAGACCATACAAAGAACGGCACCCACACAGCTCATGTCCGCTTCACTGTTCTCCACATTCCCTGGGGCGCCCTGGATGCCGGGTCTGCGGGTCGTGGCACATTAGTTCTAAGAACCAATCCAGGCGGAGCTCCAGGCCCATGTACAGAGGAGGAAACAGGCTGAGAGACAGTGAGGTCACCCAGGCAGTGCCAGGACTAGGCTTGGACGCTGGGAGCCTGAACCCTTATCCAGAAAGGGGGAGAGTGAGGACCAGCGGGAGTGGCCCTGGAAGGGAATGGGCTGGTGTGCCAGCCCCAGGAGCGTGTTCCCTTACTACCTGTGGGTTACTTCAGTTATAATCGTTTGGGTAGATAAAATTACTTTATTAAAGATGCTTATCGCCCAGCTAGGTGNCAGGCGGAGCTCCAGGCCCATGTACAGAGGAGGAAACAGGCTGAGAGACAGTGAGGTCACCCAGGCAGTGCCAGGACTAGGCTTGGACGCTGGGAGCCTGAACCCTTATCCAGAAAGGGGGAGAGTGAGGACCAGCGGGAGTGGCCCTGGAAGGGAATGGGCTGGTGTGCCAGCCCCAGGAGCGTGTTCCCTTACTACCTGTGGGTTACTTCAGTTATAATCGTTTGGGTAGATAAAATTACTTTATTAAAGATGCTTATCGCCCAGCTAGGCGTAGCTCAGGGGTTGAGCATCGACCTAGGATCCAGGAGATCGTGATTCGATCCTTNGGCTTGATCCCCAGTCGGGGGCGTGCAGGAGGCAGCCGATCAATGACAACCTCCTCATCNTGCCGGGTTGCGGGCTCGATCCCCAGTCGGGGGCGTGCAGGAGGCAGCCGATCAATGACAACCTCATCATTGATGTTTCTGTCTCCCAGTCCTCTCTCTGAAGTCAATAAAGATAAATTTAAAAATAAAAGATGCTTTTCCCCCACCGTAGACCAGCCACCTGTACCACATCTTGTGCAGAGCTGGGTGAGGGGCCTTTGGGATTCCCTGTGGAGGGGGGCTTAGATGAGATGGAGGGTGCCCTCTGAGAGGTGGACCCATGTGATGGCTGCCTCCGATTTGTAGGTAGTGACACGGCAGCCGGAGGATCNTCTCTGAAGTCAATAAAGATAAATTTAAAAATAAAAGATGCTTTTCCCCCACCGTAGACCAGCCACCTGTACCACATCTTGTGCAGAGCTGGGTGAGGGGCCTTTGGGATTCCCTGTGGAGGGGGTCTTAGATGAGATTGAGGGTGCCCTCTGAGAGGTGGACCTGTGTGGTGGCTGCCTCCGATTTGTAGGTAGTGACACAGGGCAGCCGGAGGATGTCAAAGATAGACCTGCCCACGCACCCCAGAAGTATTTCCGAGGATCAGCCATGCCTGGAAAGTGGAGCAAAGCAGACTTCCTGCTACAGCAAGCGGTTTCCTGGCCCAGAGCCCTACGTGGGGGCAGTGGGTTTCGTCTGAGCCCAGAACCCACTCCAGAGTCCTCAGGGCTTTGGAAACAGACAGGTCGTGTCCTGGGGTGGCCTGTAGGTGGAGCCAGCGTTTGCCGCAAGCTGATTGTCACCAGCTTCTTGTGGGTGACAGTGCGGTGGCTGCCTGGAACTGCTGGGGACAGAGTGGCCTGTTCAAGGGAGCACTGGGGGGTGGGAGGCAGGCTACAGCAGCAGAGAGGGCCCCTCGACCCCCCCAGGAGGGAAGTCCGAGCAGGCTTTTTGTCCTGAAACCCGCATTCCTCCCTTCCTGGCCTCATGCTCCGTGGAGGACCTGAAAGGCGGCGGGGAGAGAACACGCCCGGGCATCTGAAGGTGCAACTTTAAACAACATGCTCTACCTCAGCCTCAAGGGAGCCTTCTTGTCACCATGTCCCAGTCAGAGACCCCGGAGGGTGTGCCTCCCACTGCCCTCAGTGGGGTTGTCTCTAGAGCCAGCAGGTCCCAAGTGCCCCATGCCAGGCCCCCGTCTGCTCGCACCCACTTAACCCGCCCCCCACCCTGTGAGCTCCTACTCACACCCTTTTCACAGATGAGAAGTAGAGGCCCAGGAAAGATATTAGCCTGCATTAGAGGATAACTAGCCGGTGACCGAACAAACTAACGTAGAGCCAGGGTTCAAAATCCAACCATCTGCTTTAGAGCGGGGCCCGCACATTAGAAACTGGGTCTGTGGAGGTGATGGGCAGTCCCTGTCCCCTGGAGCTGAGTCTAGAGAACAGGCTGTGAATGTGCCCCCACGGGGTGGGCAGCACACGCCAGGGGACGTCTGTGCCTGTCCCTCGGGGCACTTCCCCAGTTCCCCACCTACCCCTGAGTCGGCCCCCACGCCTGCCCTTGCCAGCACCTCGGTCAGGCAACTTGATATCCCCAACCTGTGGCTCAGGAACATCACAATGGACCCAGCAGTGTCCTGAAGTAGCCAGGAGACTGGCAGCAGGCCCACCACCTCCCCACAAAGGGCTGACTGTGGGGATGGCCTCGCTGCAGTGCCCACGGGCAGGACTCACGCGGACACCACATGAAGGGCGGCTGCCTCTCCTTGGAAAGAGGCAGGAGGAGCCTTGTGTGTGTGTCTCCTCCTCTCGGGCCCGAAACCCAGCAGCTTTTCCAGCGAGACCAGCCCCCTGGCCGCCCGTGCACCCACCCAGGAGCCTGAGGCAGTGACCTCCACTGACCACAGAGCCTCCGCCCACCATCTGAGGCCACATCCCCCAGGCTACCCACCTGCCAAGACCCCCTTTCCACAGGACAATTCTGCCCCCCTGCAGGAAGGAAGCGGGGCTCAGGAAGGGCTTGGGCTCAGCACAGACCCTTGGGGAGCCCAAGGACCATCCAGCCAGTGGAGTCAGGGCTGCAGTTCCTGTCCCAGGGCAAATGTTTGCTCCTCAAACCCTAGGGAGCCAGCCAGCCCCAGTTCTCAAAGCAGGATTCTAGGGCTGCAGCCCCTGCTGTGGGGCGGGGCCGGGCCTGTGCTTTCAGGAGCCCTCCTGGAGATTCTGGCCACACCCAAGTTCAAGGCCTACTGGCCTGGAAGAGCCTGCCTTTCAAGGAAGCTGAGAGCAAAGCCTGCAAAGCGGTCAGCCACCCGCAGTTCCGCCGTCGGTGAATCAGATGTGGGCAGCGATCCTTCAAAGAGAATGCGCTCCAGCTGCTTCCAGACCTCGGGAGGAAACCACATCTGAGCGCCTGCCTCCCTCCCCTTCCAGCACGCCGGGCCCACCTGGCCCCTGATGACGGCTGGGAACGTTCAGGGAGCCCCACCCCCACGGTGCCTGAGGTCACAGCAGGGAGGCCTGGGCTGAGTGTCCAGCCAGCAGGCGGGGTTTGTCCTGACTTCCAGCCCTGAATCGGGCATGGAGCTGGGCATCAGGGTCCTGACTTCTTGTCTGGTGCTACCCCCTCTCTCCAGGAGACAGGCTGCCTTCCAATCCCCAGGGGTGGTCAAATATCTATATTAAAGATTTTGCTAGCATCAGCACCCCTGTGCCCCTCCCACCTGGGCTGTCCCTGTGGTCACCAGTCCCGCCGCACAGGAGGGCCCCTTTCTTTAGGAGCCAGGCTTCTCCGCACCCCTCCCCACCTGCCTGCCAGCCCATGGCCCGGTCCCAGCATCCCAGCCTGGGAGCCAGTGCACGTCGACCTACGTTGACCAGAAGGCGACGTTTGACCCACCCTAGACTCACTGCACAGAACCAC